GTTGGCCCTGCCCTTTCTATTTTGAAAATCCCTACACTTTCAGTGGAATCAGATTTTGAAATGGACAATGGGCATGTTAATTTCACATTCCATTAGGAACACCAAGAGGCACAAGGTGAGCTGGGATGAACCCCACCTCTGACACAGGTTAAAGAACCCAAGAAGTGTAGAGAACAGTTTGCCTTTGCAATCTATTCGTCTCCCCCAAATCACTTCATGGGGAGGGATTTGGAGGGTCACAGTTCTGCTGGGGGTGAAAGGTACGTTTCATATGGTGGGGAAATTGACTCTAAAAAGATGCATGGTTGATATGAAGAATTTCAAATCTAGTCAATTAGGTTACCTTCTCTAAAAATGATTTCTAAAATTTTTTTTTTTCTTTTTTGCTTTATATCAACCTTCCTCCATAAAATTCAAAGTTGGTTTCTAAGATTATACACTGACTCTCACTAAGAAGGAATTAACCCTGACTAAAAGGAAGGAATACTTTTTAAAAAATAATCACTATGAAGAATATTGAGCAAGAGTTATTTTAATAGGGTCATTAGATCCAGGCCGGGAGATTCTAAACAAGTCTATTACACTGGAACACTAAAACTGGAGGGGTCTAGGTATAAAAGCAACTATTTTTAAATGATGATGATGGTGTATTTTTTGGTGTGTGTTTTTTTTAGTAGAAACCTGAGTAAAGAGAAAAACTTTAGACCTCACTAACAAATACTTGTGGGGGATTTTTAAAAGACTTTAAGGAAAACCTGCTTTTAAAAAAAGAAGTCCAACAAACAAACTAAGGCTGTGGTGTTGGCAGATGGGTTACAACAAATGTGGAAACAAAATACCACCAGAACAGTGACAGGTATTCCAGAAATGGGGAGGCTCACGTTTCACGGACACACAGTGGACATTTATAAGCAGGGATCTGTCTGGTTCTGGCTATAATTCAGGAAGCAGAAGACTGCCGGACACCTGTCATCTGACAAGGGATTAGTGAACACACAGCACACTTACAAAATGATGCCTTATAGCCTATCACGGCATTTTGGGGACAAGCAGGGAATTAGAAACAAAAATTCTGACTCCCTCACTTACCTTGCAGAGTTGAGCAAAAGTACCTGACATTTAATCACTAGGCTTTTGGTTTATTTGCCTGTGAAATGAGGTCCCATCACATTTTTATTGCCCAAGCCTATTGCAAAGGACAAATGTGACTGGATTAAAGGCTTTAAAAAATACCGTAAGAATGTGCTATCATTATGTGTAATCATTACTATTACAGGTTACTAATAACTCTGAAGGCAGTGAGGCTGTTCCTTTCAAGCTGGGTGTGGGGAAGGTAAGGAGGTGGGAGGAATAAACAAAAAAGTGACAAACATTATTTATTTTTTTTGCTTAATACCAGTTTTCCATGGTATTTGTAATGTAGGCAAATGATAAAAATTAACATAGCTATATAGAAAAACAGTTTTACTTGAAGGAAAATCTGTAGGAAATTGGATTTTAAAAGGCAAGGAAGAGATTTTTGGCTTGATAAGCCATGACTTTCCCACTGCAGCAAATGACTCAGTGGAAGCATTTTGAAAAAAGGAAAAAAGGGCTGAACTGAAAAAGAAGAAAGAAAAAAGGAAAGGGGTACTGTAGCAGGATGAGATGAAGCCCTCACTGTTGTACTTGGTGGCATAAATGATCTTACAATTAATTGAGATTCACTGTATAAATAAAGTGTCATGGCAGAATAGTCATTATTATATATAGCATTTACCTGCACAACTTTAATAAATGTAGCAGCTACCAAGAAATTCTAACCTACCAGTCCCTTCAATTCTTAAAGGAAAATGAGGGAATCACCCAAATTAGGTTTCCAAAAAACATGTTTAAGCCACTGAAATTACTCAGAAAGGCAACAGAAACATGGAAATAAATTTATCATTGGATAGTGTTGAGTAAGAAATGGACTTCACTTTTTTTAGCTATTCGATGATCTAACTATCTTTTTAAGATTCTCTGTGGGGGAGAAAAAAAGATTCTTTGTGATGTGGTTAAGCTGTTTGGGCAATAAAAATGGAGAAGGTATATACACAGAAATGCACACGTGTTGTTAAAGCAACAGTTGAATCTGTATGTCACAAATTATCAAAAGATGGTCATTTGGTCTGCATTTTCAGGGGTGGGCATATGTGGCTGTCTTGTTTTATGTGTTAGGATTTAAATGTTAGTGAAAATGTTTGTCCGAGATGTACATGGGTCTTCACCCTGCCTTCTCTCCCCCTCCCCAATCAGTCATTCAGACCCCGTGGGGTACCTTTCTTGTCACTTTGGTAAAAAACAAAACAAAACAAAAACAAAAACGAAACCTTATCAGATTGCTGCCTGGCTCAACGAGCCACATTGACACAGCAGGCAACCTGGCTTTTTGAATTCAGGTTTTCCTGATAGACAGGGCCCAAGGCTCACTGGACTACACTGCATGCAAAGGTGCTTGACCTGGGTGCAGGACCAGGGTGATGCAGGGTGACCCCAGCTAATCTTCTTTATAAGGTGAATTTTCCCCCCTGCATCAAAACAAGGGTAAGCAAGGGAAACTTGTAATGTTCTTAAGGCTCAGCCCCAGACATGGACTGTGTGCTGCAGGGCAGATGTTTGTATAACCTATGGCAAAAGCCTCCAGTCTTGATTTAAGTGGATGGTGCTCCCCATGCTAAAGCCCTAGAATAGGGGATTCTGGGCATGGAGCAAAGGAGAATTTAGTAAAGATCTGCTTGAAAGATTTTTACAAATAAGGCAACTGAGGCTGCAGCATGTGAAGGACACTGCCAATTAGGTGTCAGGTGCACATCGTACCTTGGCTCTCCTGTCTGCCCCATCACAGGTGTCCCACCCAGTGCTATGTTTGGAATGTTGAAATGGAGCTGTTGTGGCAAAATCAGGTGTCCGCAGGAGAAGAACACATTGTCATTTGAGGCTCCGGGCCTTTAGTGCAGTTGGGGCATCTGAAGTGTAACACTACCTCCCTCCTGGATGTTTTTGAGGGAAATGATGCTGTCCTTATTTCCCTAGGTGGGCATGAATAAAATGACCATCACATTTAAAACTGTGACTCGTGAAAAGCACACATCACAATAGCACACAGTTACATGGCACATTACAAAATATTTCGCAAATGTAGCACAGCCTGAAAAATTGTAATCTTGAAATCCCTCGAGAGGGCTTAGAGAATAAGCACAATAAAGAAATTAGGATTGTGGAGTTTCACTTTTGAAATCTTCATTTAAGCCACACATTCAGATCTTTGCTAATTTGCTGCTCTGATTAACTGTGGCACAGGAATCAAGACCCAGATTTGAGGGAAGGAGAATCTAGGGGAGGGTGCAGGAGGGAGGGGGCCTGGGCGGGGCCAGGGAAGGACTGGGGAGATGCAGCAGAGGGTCTTGTTGTGGGGGGGAGTAGGCTGTTGGAAAGGGGAGGGACCCCTGAAGGTGGCATAGGTGAGGGGAGGGGGGGGGGAGGCCAGGGCCATCAACGGTATCCTCCCAATGGGATCATTAACAGATCTTTCAATGTTTTTGTATCCCAAGCCCAGATGCAGAGGGTCTTACCTTTGAGCCTCTCTGCCCCCAGCTAAAGCTGCTTGAAAAAAATTCACATGTAAACATTTACATGTCTCACAGTTTTTTCACATTTTATCCATACACTTAAAATACACTGGAAACATTTTTTAAAAAGTTTTATTTGAATTGCATTTCAAACACAAGACGGGCATTCCACTCCCAACGCATAACCCCTCTCTTAGAACCAAGCCCCTCCTACTGTATCCGGAAAAAGGGTAAAGGATTGGCTTACCTCAGGCTCTTCCCTAGGTTAAAAAAAAAATGATTTCATAGTTTTTAAACATAGCCACGCCCAGCCCCTGGAACCAGCCCCGGTGTGGTTCGGGATCCGAACTCGCCTGCGGAAGGTTAAGTAGGACTTTTTTGCCCCTCCTCCCTTCATCCCCCACCAGGTAAGCCGAAAGTGTGCAGAATACCAAATTTTTGCGCGCAGTCCCGGACGCCCCAGATACCTGCGTGTCTGGTTTTTCAACCGTAAAGGCGGGAGGGTTTGGCGAACGAATAAGAAGTGAGGAAACGCTTAGCGCAAAGGGGAAAAAAGAGAGAAAGACAGACAGAAAATAGGTTATGGAGGCCGCCCGGAGGCGGCCCCCGCCCGCAGCTCAGCTACTGGCCCCATATCCTCCCGGGCATCTCCCGCTACTTTCTCAGGCTTTTCGCGCCGCCCGCTGCAGAGCGCCAGCGCCAGCACACAGGTACCGCCGGAGTGTGTGTACACGGAAAGTTTTTGCCCGCGCAATGGCGCAAAACACAAGACAGCCCATTCCCCAGTACAAGTACACAGTCGGCGGGTAATTTGGGGGGGTGCCAGGGATGGGGGTTGGAGAACACTTGAGGATACCATGCACAGGCGGACACAATGTGGACACCGATGCACACCCACAAGAAGCTGTCTGATACGGGGAAGCCGTGCCGGGCGAGGCAGGGACGCACGTTCTCCATCAACCCCCAACCCACCAACAGCCCCAGCCAGCTAGCAAGAGCGACCCCCGAGCGCCCTCCCACCCCACCCCCCACCCCCCCCCCCCGCCCCGCAGTTCCTGGCTCACCTGAAGCCCCCGCCTTTCTTGCCGTCCCCCACCCCACGACTCGGCGACGTGGTCTTACGATCGCTGGCACTGGTTTGTCCAGCTGGAAACGACCCTCAAGTGTTGTATCGCGCCATGTTTATCCCCCAAAGGGCACATACTTCCCCACCCAAGCCCACCCAAGATCCCTCCCGCTCCCAGGGCAAAGTTAGGGCCCCATGCTGGAACTTTCTGGCAGGTTCTTCCCGCCTCGGCCCAGACACCCCCCTCCCGCCGCCAGGCCCGGAGGCCCATCGGGCAGCCCTGCCACCCGCTCCCGGGGTTCCTGGGTGGCCCTGCTCCCCACGGGCAAAGTCCGCCGCATTACCTAGAAACAGCATGCGGTGCGTATGCGAGTTGTCCATCTTCTTGTTCTGGAGTTGCTTGGTGAGCTGGCTGTGTCTCTTCTCGGACCACTTCTGGCCACGCTTCCCCGCGTTTTCCTTGCGGTCTTGTCTGCGCTTCTCCGCCAAGGCAACCTTCTTGACCTTGGGGCTGAAGGAGCCTCTGAACTGGGGGCTCTCGGATCCGAAGACGCAGCCTCGGAAGACCCGGACGAGGAAGTTGTGGAGCAAGTTGCGCCGGGGCTTTCGGCGGCGGCGGTTTCGCTTGGACGAAAACCAGCGGCGGCATCCGAAGGTCCCATCGTCGGATTCGTCTCCGCTGTCGCTGCTGACCGATATCTGGTCGTCGTAGAGGTAACAGCAGCTGGGCTCTGACCTGCCCCGCCAGGCAGATGCGCGCGGAGGCTGCGGAACAGGCGGATCGGCAGCCTGGATCTCTGGGCTTGGGGGTCTAAGGAAACTGATCTCGGGTCGGGCTCCCGAGGCGGGGTTTGCCCAGGTGATAGGAGTGGCCCGGGGGACGGAGGCTGCCCGGGGGACAGTGGCTGCCCGGGGGACAGTGGCTGCCCGGGGGACAGGAGCCGCTCGGCCAACAGGGGCTCCCCTGGCGACAAGAGCGGCCGGGGCTGCCCCAGCGACAGAAGCGGCTGGGGCGGCAGGAGCGGCTGGGGCGGCAGGAGCGGCAGGGGCTGCTCCAGCGGCTGGGGGGTCTGGAGCAGCCGAGGCTGCCTCGGCGGCTGGAGCGGCCAGTGCTGCCTCGGTGGCAGCGGCAGGGGCTCCGTCCCCGGGATCGGGGACCTTGCCTCCCTCCGCGGCAGTGGTGGCTGAGCCTCCCTCCATCTCGGCTGCTTCTCCCTCAGCTGGGGGTCTCTCTCCCTCTGCTTGCTCTCTCTCAACGGGAGCTCCGGAGACCTCGATGCGCAGAACGTCAGGCGCGACTGGGGGGCTGTCCATGTCGCCGGGAGCGTCATCGACCCCAACGGGGGCGCTGCCAACCTCGCGCGGGGGTCTGGAGACCTCCATCGGGGGGCTGTCTCCCGCGAAGTGTGGAGGAGGTCTGAGAGCCTCTCGAGATGGGCTGCCGATGATGCCGGGGACCCAGAGGGGGGGCTCGTTCGCGGCGGGAGCGAGGAGGATCGCACTCGAGACCGCGACTGTCGTGATCTGGCTGCCCCCACCGCCGTCGATCTGTGGGATAGCTCGGGGGAGCCCAGGGGGTGGGCTGTCGTCCCCCAAGGCTGCTCCATCAAACTCGAATGGCAGATCCTCCTTGTGGGGAGGGCTGCATCCTCCTCTGATGCCTGCGTTTGCAGGTCTGATGGCTCGGGGCTCCTCGGGAGGAGCCCTGAAGACCACCGAACCTGGGCCTCCTGGAGCAAGGTCTGAGACCTGCAAGGGAGGTTGGTTGTCTCCCTGGTCAGGCTGCTCAAACTCAAAAGGCATGGCTTCTTCTGGTGGAGGGCTGTAGCTTCCCAGGCTTGGAACGGCCTCATGGGAGGCTCCGGGCTCCATGACCGGTGGGCTGAAGGCCTCAAGGCCTGCACTGGTCCCAGTGGTGTCTCCAGGATGCTCCAGGGTAGGCCAGAAGCTTCCCAAGCTGGCCTGTTCGACCTCGAAGGGCATGGCTTCCTCGGGAGGTGGGCTGTACCCTCCATGGGCCCCGGCTTCCTTGAAGGCCTGGCCGAGGTCCTGGAAGTTGGGTCTGGAGACCTCTGGGGGTCCACAGGCTTCGCCTTCAGTCTCGATGGGGATGGGCTCGCTGTGAGGCGGTGGGGTCTCCATCTCTTCGGCTGGGCCAGGCCCAGCACCGGGGGCAGCTGCCCCTGGGGCCTCCAAAGGTGGTTGCTCGGGCTGTTCCCCGAGTTCAAGGGGGTTATCGCGTTGTCCTGACATATTATTGCCGTCGAGGCAGTTGCGCACGCCCATAACACGGTGGCGGCTTCTTAAAATAAACTTGGGGCCCCGTGAGACGGAGCACCCAACCGAACTAGGGTGAAAAAAATTATTTTCAAAAAAATAAAGCAAAGTACCAGCTGGAAAGTTCTCCTACCTCACTTTCCAACCCTAGTGAGGTCTAGGGGTTCAGGGGTTCAAGGCCTCGAACCCCAGACCATGGCAAAAACAAGTCTACTTTTGCTTGTTGAGTCTTGGCTCCTTTCTGGTCACTTTTTATGCCCTCAGGCTGCCCCTGGCCCCCCCCTCCCTTTGGCCTTACTTGTCCTCTCCTCTCTCTTTTGCTCAGTCCCAGGCCAGCCCCGCCTGCTTGGATCAGAGGAGCGCGCCGATTCGGTCCGAAAATCGCTCGTAGTGCTCTTTTTCTGCCACCAGAGGACGCAGGTCCAGTGTCGAGATGGCTCCGGGAGCCGGCACCAGGCTCCGGGAGCCCCAGACTTTGGGTAAGGGGGCTGATGCGCGCAGGCCTCGCAGGGATGTTTTGGCTCCTTCCAGTCCTCTCCCTGACTGATTTGGAGTGTTTCTCCTCTCTTCTCCCCTGGTCAGAGAGAGCGCTCTTCTGCGTTGCAGGACACGTGACGCAAGACGTGGGCCCCGGGCTGCGGGAGCGCAGGAGCTGAACCCCTCCCTCCCAGACCCAACAGACTCTCCTCGGGGGGAGGGGGGACTGCAGGAGTGTTTCGTAACCCCAAATTACCCCTGAACCCCTGAGCCGCAGCCCCCAGCCCTGAGCAGCCTCAGATCCTAAGTCCCGAGTCTGGAGCGCAAGGCTTCGGGCGCGTGCGAAGGGGGTGTAGGAGCGCGCGGGGATGCGACAGGTGGTCGTGAGCCCACCGGCGGAGCAGACAGGTGGTGAGGGGAAGGGGGCTGACGAGTGTGAGCACGCAATTTGTTTTTAAAATGTGTTGGGGGTACTTTACATCGCTTCTGTGGCTTTTGTTTGCGGGTTGCCGAGGCTGGCTCCTATAAAGCACATCAGTGTCCCCCATCCCCACCACCACATTCTGGGGTCTCTGCAGTGGCCTAGGGTGACGCAGGCATGGTTCTTCCCCGTTCATGGGGATGACGACAAATACAAGGGAGGTAAGAGGGTCTTGGGTATCTACTACCAAGACCCTCCAAGCGGTAGCTGCCGCGGCACGGAACTGGGGGTTGCGGGACGCACACAGGGACCCCACAGACTGAAGGCCCCAGAGTTCCTGCTGTTCTGGGAAAGGGCTAAATGGAATTTCAGTTGAGATTTATGGCCGGTTTAAGGTGGTCTCGGAGACGGAAAAACCCCGTGCGCACCGAATCCAAAGATACACACCGTGCCGTGCGGGCAGCTGCGACCGCGGTGCGCTGTTGCCCGCTTTGGGCACCGGCCGCGGGGTTGGTCAGTCAGCTCCTCTAGCCCCTCTCCAGCCCCCTTCAAGTTCTTCTCGTCTCGCTACGGGTCCCCCAGAGTAGCTGCTTTACTTTTCCAATGCCTGAGCCCCCTGAGGCGGCAGAGTCCGGCCACAAAACCGGCAGTCGCCCGGCTTGAGCTCCCATCACAGTCGCTGTAGCGCGTGGTGGGCTCAGAGGCGGCAGGGATAAATGCCAAGACCACCTGGGTGGGCTTGACATGTCCATGCACACAGATCAAGGTTTGGGGGGTTGCGGAGAGATTTGAGCCCCAGGAAAAATTTGCTGCGTGTGGTTCACGTAAGACCCGGGACTCAGGCATCGTATCTGTCTCGCCAGTGGGTGACATGGACCCATGAGCCACTTTTAGGTGGAAGGTAGCTAGGCAAGGAGGAGGTGATCACTTGGCCTTAGGGCGTGGGGAGAGATGGCTGGGTACCTAAAAGGTGGGCTGCGGCAAGCGGGGCGCATCACTTAGATCGCATCGCCTGGATCGCTGTATCTACGAGCCGCAGCCAGGCGAACCCCGTACGCACACACACTCCCACCTTGTTAAACCTAACACATCCCTCTTTGAACGAGGGGGTCAGAGCCACTGCGCATCACTGCCCCCGTAAACCACCACTCATGCGGATGAGCTGCGCCGAGGAAAACGGACAAAGTCGGACCCCGGGTAACGTTTGGAGCCCCCCGAAGGGCGTATCATCTCAGCTCTTCGGGTCAACACACTTCCAAGTACCAACACCGAACTTTGGTTCAAACTTTGGACAACTACCCCCACGCGTAACGGCTCAACCTTTTGGGCATCCACGGAATGTGCCAACTGGGTCGCAACAGTCAACTCACTCCCCTCCGACCCCAGCGCTGGGTCAGCCATTGGGCTGGGGTCACGCCAATCAAGGCTGCCTAGCGAATGAACGGGGGGCGCCAGACCGGAAACCGGATATGAGTGGGAGGTCCAATAGGGGGCGCCGCGTTGGAACGCCCTAAGAGGTTGTGCCGCTGGGGTGGTTTGGAGCGGTTGGTGGGCGGGCGTATGGCGGTCAGGCCTGGGCCGCCACGAGGCCGGCTGGCACTGTGGGGTCACTTTCTGACGCCCCAGGTCACCGAGGCTGAAAGGGGAGGTGGGGTCTCTCAGGGAGCAGCCCTCGTTCTCGCCGATGGCGGTGGGTAAACCCCTAAGAGGGATCCGCTGCCAGGGCGAGGCGAGGAGGAGGCGAAAGGGCCTGCAGGTAGAGGGCCAAGACCCTGAGGAGAGAGGGGGCTCACTGCCCCGATGCAGAGGATCAGCCCCAGATGGATAAGGAGTTGAGGTCGCGGGGATGCTGAGCCCTGCCAAAGTGGAAGGTCAGTAGGCGTCGCGGTTTGGAGCCTCAAGGAGGCCGCGATGGGGGCCCTAAAGGGACGGTTTACACTCGCCAGGCCTCGCGCGCAGCCCACGTCACCGAGGCTCTTTTCCACAGCACCATTCAACAAGGAATGGGTGCAGAGAGTCTGTTCTACATCCCCAGGAGCGTCTAGCACCTGGATTATTTGCCAGGAGAGCACACGCACCGATGGGATGAAGATCGGGCCGACAACATCCTCCCTCCTAGAGGCTAAGCAACATAAAAATGAAAGAAAAGACCCCTCAACTGGGGCGGGGGCGGGGGGGACCTTGTTGGAGAAAATGGAGTTACAGATGGGCCTCCACGGAGGGATGGATGTCTAGGCTGTGAGCAAAAGTGGGGGGGGGGGGGGGCGGATGGGAGACGTCGGCCTACCACGAACAAAGATCGAATAGTAAGAAACATGGCACACGGCTGGGTAAAGAGATCAGGTCACCCGGCTGGGCCTGGGGGGAGCAGTGGGAGAGAAAGGCAGGGAATACTGGATAGTGTTTCTCTGAGGATGCCATGGAATAGCAGGGCAAGCAGTTTGGAGGCTTCTTTGGCAGGAAATGGAACAGATATGGAACTTTTAAAAAAAAATCCTGCAAGTGAGGATTTGAGCCTAGTTTTAGGGCAGGATTGAGGCAGTGTGGAGGATGGCCCTGATGAAGAGAACACAGGAGGACCTGACTGGTTCTGGCCTTTTAGGAAGAGAAATAGGCACAGTGAAGGAAGCAAGAAGGCTGGAGGGAGGGACTCAGAGGGATCCCAGAGGACCCTCCAGAAACTCCCTGGTGCAACATGCAAGGGGCAGGGAGCCCAAGTCTGGCACCTAGGATGGAGAAGTCAGGGAGGACCTGGAGAAAAGCTGGCATGGTGCCTAGCCAGTCTGGTTTTGGACCTGACAGAGGGGGGAAGGAGGTACAGTCTGGGTGGAGATTTCTTTCAGCCTGTTATTTAGGAGGACGGGACCAAAGTCAAGACAAAACCCCAAGTTCAAAGTGACAGTAATCCTTATTAGGATATGAAATCACTCTATCAGATAAAATCTTCAAGGGGAGAAATAAATTTGGTGATAGGCTCTCAAACACTTGGAGCACTGGAGAGAAAAAGGGGGGGACATTACAGGAAAGAGTGGTGGGCCTAGGAAGGGCTCCTGGGTGGGAGCATGGCAGAGGGAAGAATTTAAGAATTGGTCCGCATCGCTCATCTAGATGGTCATTTCTCTGCCTCTTCGCTGGTTGCCTTCTGGGGCCAGGGAGCTCTGTGCTGTGGGGACTGGCCTGGGCGCTGGAGGACATCTAGGAGCATCCCTGGCCTCTACCCACTAGATACCAGGAGCATCCCTTTTGTTGTAGCAACTAAAAATGTCTCTAAATGTTGCCAAGCCTCCTCTGGGAGGCAAAACCGCCCCCCTGCCATGGGCTGAGAAAGGACCCTCAGACTCAAGTAGCAATTGCCTTAATTTAAAGGTAAATGAGGATCAAGAAGAAGAGATTGCGGCATTTAACTCTAGTGTCCCCCCTTTTATCTTCTCTTTATTTCACCGTAGTGACTGGCTACCAGGATCTGAAAACCCCAAATCTCTTGGATGAGTGGGGATCAGAGCTGAAGCTTCACCACAAATCAGAAGTGGGACTTGAGAGACTGGCAGAAGGGTAGCCAGATGTTGGAAGAGGTGGCTAACCTGAAAGGCAGCTGGGGAGCCTTGCCGCAGGGGCCCAAGAGACTAGTATGGTAAGAGCTGGGGGTGATCAGCTGAGGGGCTAACTGGGGGCCACTCTGATTGGTGGGACTGTCTGGCGAGCCCATTCAGGGCTGGTGATCTTGTTGGCCAAGACAGAAACGTGGCCTTGACCTGGATGGAGGTGGCCAGAGCGCCCAGTTTTTATTTTTTATTTTTTTTAGTTCTACCAATTTATTGCTACCAACCCATCTCCCTCCACCCTCGTGCACACATGCTCAGTCATGTAATCCCATGGACTTCAGCCCGCCAGACTCCTCTGTCCATGGATTTTTCCAGGCAAGAATACTAGAGTGGGTTGCCATTTCCTTCTCCAAGGGGGCCCAGTTTTTAAGATCTGCCATTATGATTTATAATCGCAAAGTATTACCTTAGACATCGATTTCCAATTCTGGATGGATTTCTATCAGGGAAGAGGTAAATATTTTCTAGGGAAGAGGTAAATATTTTCTAGAAATGAGCACGAAGTGGGA